ACCCGCCACCACAACAGCAAAATGGGCTGAATTCCCAAAATCGTGGCTGTAAAAGGAACGGCATAGGCGGGGACGGAGCAGGGGGCGGCAGCGACTGGCCCATCGTCCTTCGGGTCGCGGCGGATGAAGTCGGTCGGCGCGCTGCAGGGCCTCGGGAGTTTCGTGTCTCGGAAGGTGTCCGGGTCCCGAGGGAGCGGCAGGCACCAGGACGGCGGTGTAGATAGCGACGTCGGAGATGGCGGCGGCGCCGGGAGCAGGCGCAGGGCAAGCTCGAGCAGTGGGGGGTTCGGGGAGCTCCCGGCGGGGAAGATGGCCGAGCTCCGGCGACAGCGGGAGGCCGCCGGGGCGGCGTCCAACATGATGGGGGGGAGCTTCGGCAGCGGCAGCGCGCACTCGGTGCCGTCGCCGGCGGACAGCTGGGACAGCGCCGGGCACTGGGATGAGAAGGTGAGTCTCGTGGTGGTACGTATCCTGTTTTTGTCGCTGGTTTTCCTTCGAAATGTTCACGGAAGGAGTCGTGTGTGATGTGATCCGTTTTCCTCACTGCCATGAGTGCAACATCAGACCCGGGATGAGTCATTTGGGAGAGTTGCTTTTTCTTCTTCGAGGTTACATTGAACAACAAGACTGGGGAAAACTGAGGGCCTTGGGGATTTCGTGCGGTCACAATTTGGTGAGGCGGGCCGGCACCCCAAAAGCCCTCATCGAGAGCTGAGGAAATCGCAAAAACGTTGCGAGAATCTGCAAGGTCGATCTGTATTGGGGGTATGGACACATGAGGCCTGATGGTTTCGTCGCCCTAACATGTATATAGCACCGTGCATCAATGTGATCATGGGGCCTCTCACAGTAGTATAGTTATTCTAAATGGTCTACAAGTCTAATGTTCGTAGTCAGTCTGGTGCGGCGGGGGGAACTAGCAAGTCAATCACGATGTGGGTTGCGGGCCGGCCGGGAGAAGCGAGCGCGAAATAATGCCGTTTCCGGCGTGTTGCCCCCAACTCAACCCTCTATGAGACAGTCTCGGGCTGGTTGCTTCTGACGGCGGCATTTTCGATCGATCAACGCAAGGGGTCGTTTGTTGGGATCATCAATGTGTTTGACTAGGGTGCTGTTTGGTGTTGCTCAAAACGAGACGATGAAACAGCCTTTTTTATCTGCTCCCACCCCAATGCTGTTTGTTTTCGCGTCCGTTTATTTCGCATTTAAACAGAAACAGTACCAGATCCAGCTGGGAGAGGAGGCCGGCGACGGCATCCCGGCGGCTATCGACGGCAAGGCGCGGAAGATTCTCGGCCTCCCGCCCCACCGCAGGGCCAGCGTGGGTGCATCTGCCTCCGCCGGATCCTCCCCAGCACCAGGGGCGCATGGGGGGGGGGCGGGGAGACCGGGAGGGGCCGCGGGAGGGGCGGGGAGACCGGTAAGGGCGGCGGGAGGGGCGGGGATGCCGCCACCGCCGCCTCCCAGCCGGTCAGGGTCGCTCCCCAAGAGAACACCGGTCCGCCCCGTGCAGGCGAGCCCGTCTCCGCTTCCTGTGCAGAATCAACAGCACCACTTCCCAGGAGACGGCTCGGCCGCCGCCGGTTGGGGGCCGCCGCTACAGCCTGGGACAGGGGGTGCGGCGGCGGCGGCGGCGGGTGGGGCTGGTGGCCACGACGCGGTGCTGAGCACGCCCGAGACGGGGACATCGATGTCGCCCTTCGCCGGAGGTGGCGTCTACGGCGTCATGTCAACGAGCTCCAGCGGCTCCGAGGACGGCGACGGCGGCGACGACGGTAGTAGTGGTTCGAGAAGGCGCAAGCGCGGCGGCGGCGACGGGGACGGCGGCGGTGAGAGCTGTGGCGGCGGTGACGGCGGCGGTAAAGCGTTCCGCTCGTCGAAGTCCAGCAGCAGCGGCGGCGGCAGCGGACATCTCCCCCCCCGCGACGGGACATCGAGGGCGGCGGCCAGGGCTGCCCGGATGGAGGCGGACAAGCTGGCCGCGCTGCGCCACTTCGTCTCCGAGGCGAAGCTGGAGACCAAGGCCAGCCGGAGCGGCGGCGGCGGCGCTGCGGCGGTCGACGCTGCGGCGGAAGCGGCGACCCGCGGTCGTGGTCGTGCGAGGAGCGGGAGCGGTGGCGCGCAGCTGGTGGTGTGGAACGATACGGAGGAGGAGGATGCCCGGGCGGAGATGGCCAGGATAGATCCGCCGCTCTTGCCCTCGGGAGAGCTCCTGCCGGAGGATTCCAAGGCGTGGAAATTGCTGGGTGCCGGGGGCAGCGGCAACGGGAAAGGCGTCGGCGGCGTCGGCGGCAGCGTCCGTTCTTTTTCGGGATCCAGCCTGCCGAGCGCCCTGGTGGCCACTTCTAGGTCGGAGGAGTTCGACGTGGGCTCCCTCCGCAGCAAGCTCGCTCGACGCGGCGACAACAAGCTCTCCCCGAGCCCGTCGCCGCCGCTGCACCCCCGGCTGACCATGGAAGGGTACGGGCGGACGGCGGACGGGCGCCCGCTCAGCCTCTCGCTCGCGTCCTTCGACATCGGCGCCGGCACCGCGAGCAAGGTGGCGAAGCAGTGGGCGGCGTGCAACAGCGTCGTGCCCACCCCGCACGGGGGCACGACGCGGCGCGCCGACCCGCCCCTCAGCCCGGGCGTGCAGACGCCCCCGCCCCTGTCCCCGCCGGGCATCTCCGACCTCGGCAGCGTCGTCGTCTTGGGCAACGACTCGAACAAGGCGCTGACCTTGACCATGAGCGGCGCCAGCGGCGGCGGCGGCGACGCCGTCGAACACGACGGCAGACACGAGCAGAAAAACACCCTGCGTTCCCCGGTCAGCGCTCGCGGCGGCCCCCGGTCGCACTGGGCTAGCACCACCGCGGCGGAGGCGGAGGCGGCGGCGGCGGCGGTGTCTCCGCCGAGCTGGGGCGCGCGGAAGGGATTCTCGTCGTCGGGGCACTCTCCCGCGTCGACGCCGAGGGCGGGCGGAAGCTCTAACACCACAGGAGGAGGCGGCGGCGGCGGCAGCAGCGGGTCGGTAGTGATCAGGACTCCGGGCAGGCTGCCCCGCAGGCTGCACCAGGGCGTGAACAAGGTCAAGCGCGCGGTCGGAGTCGGGTGAGTGTGTTGTTTTTGGTGTGTTTTTTTTTCAGCACACTTGTGTGTGTTGTGTTTCGTGTAGTTATATGTCTACGTGGGCGCAGCGATAACGGTGGGGGTATTTTTTGTTTCCCCCCCCCGGGCGTGCTACAATCTCTCGCTGGCCGCAGGTGTAACTGCACGCGGTTTTCGATTCGGATTGTGCTTATTCAGCTTGATGCTCTCCCGCCCTAGCAGAGCAACATGTTTTTAGTCCTGGGCGGCATCTGTCACGTGGTGGTACGTGTGGGCCCGCCTCTCGTCATGTTCACATCCGTGTGTCCCACCAATGCTGTTTCCCTGACCTTGCTCTGAGACTGATCTGGCCCACACACGCCGCTAATCCCCAGCGAGTACAACCCCGGCAGCGGTCAAGTCATGCCGGCGGGTGGCTCTGCCGCCGGCCCGCGCACCCCTCGCGGCGGCGGCGGCGGCAGCAGCGACGGTGGGTTCGACACTGGCGCCACCGCGTCGGTGCACGCGCCATCTCCCCGCCGGGGGTTCCGCCGAACCGGTTCTGCATCCGGGGCAGACGGCGAGAGCAGCAGCAACTGCGGCGGCGGCGGTACCGGTGGCGGCAACAACGGTCGGCCGCCCGCCCGGAGTCCTCGTGTGACCGTGACGCCGTCCTTTTCTTCCTCCGGCGAGGCGGATCCGCCCCAGCGGCAGATGGCGACGCTGCTGCCTCCCAGGAGCGGCGGCGGCAGCGGCGGTGGCCCGAGGCAGCAGCAGAGTACTGCGGCGTCGGCGTCGGCCGCGGCGGCGAACGCCGCGATGGTCGCGATGAAGATGATGGACTCGCCGATGGGGGGAGGAGGGGCGCCGGGAGAGGGAAGCGGCGGCAGCGGCAGCAGCGGCGGCAGCGGCGACGCCGCCGGCGGGGGTGCAATGTCTCTCCAGAAGAAGAAGCACAAACTTGATCGCCTGGTCAAGCTGCTCGGCCCCGAGTTTCGGGAGGAGATCTGGGAGTCCATGTCCTCCAAGCAGGTCGCCGGCGGCGCGGCCACCACCGGGGACGGCGACGGGAACGACACTGGTGGCGGCGGTGGCGGCAGCCTCCTGGGAACGTCGACGCAGTCGACACCCGCGGCTAGCTCCTCTCTCTCTGGGTGGACGGTTGGCGGTGGCGGCACGCGCGGCGCCGTCGACGTCTCCCTGGACGGCAGCGTGCGCAGCGGGCATGGCACCGGCAGCGGCCCCTCGGGGGTGAAGGCCGGCGGCAGCAATAGGAGGTGGTCCATGGAACACGGCCTCGGTGGCGGGGGCGGGATGTGCAACGGCGGTGGCACGGGCGGCGTGCACTACGAACCGGGAGCCGGCCTCGGCAGCGGCAGCGGCGGTGGTGGGGGGTGCGGTGGAACCTTCGGAAATTCCGGTGGCCTTGCTGCGGGCGGGGGCGGCAGCGTCGCGAAGGGCGGGAAGATGACCAAGTTCCCGTACCAGAAGCGCCTTCGGGAGGGCCTCGACGCTGCCTACCAGAGTGAGTGTGAAGATTTGTGTCCGTCGAGATGCTTGTTTTTCGTCGTTTGGTCTGCTGGCTATGGTGCGCTCTCACTCTTGGCTACGGCGGCCTGATACTCAACTCTCTCTGTTTTTGTGCCGTATCGTTTGGTGGTCCGAGGGTTGTCTTGGGGGGGGGAGGGGGGCACTGCATCACTTGTTGTTGGGGAGTTCTGTCGAAAACGGAAGAGGTAGCAGTTTTCTTGAGGGCAAGCAAGCAAGGAACGATCATTCGGGTGGACAATCGAACAGCAGTATGACAAATCCTCCCCGTGCCGCAACGAAAACCCCCCGCCCCCCATTTACTCCTGTTGTGGTATTTACCCAATTTCTGGTGTTTATTGCGGCCAAGAGTCGGTCAACACGCGCTGGGCTTGCTTTGCGAGTGAGTCCCTTTTGTAGCACAAATATCAACGTTGGCTTCAGTCGACAGCAGCAGCAAGAACGCTCATCCCTTTCGGCTCTCTTCGTGCAAGCGCGGCCCCAACCCCACCCAGCCCCCCAACGCCCCAAAGACACGCTTCATGCTGCTACCCCGATCCTAAGCACCCCCCCCCCCCCCCCCCCCCCCGGATAAGGAG